CGGTTGGTTGTGAAAGGGTATTGCCAAGAGGAAGGCATAGATTATGAAGAGAGATTCTCACCTTTTACAAGGCTAGAATCCATTCGAATTTTCCTTGCCTATGCAGCACACAAGAATTTTGAAGTCTATAAAATGGACGTAAAATGTGCATTTCTGAATGGTGAATTAGAGGAAACAGCCTATGTGGAACAACCACTAGGTTTCGTGAATGAGAAGTATCCAAATCATTGCTACATCTTGGATAAGGCTGTGTATGGTTTAAAACAAGCACCATGTGCATGGTATGAAACCCTTACTCGTTTCTTAAAGCAATTCAAGTTTAAACAGGGTTCGGTCGACCCAACCTTCATTCGCAAGAAAAATGGTGACCATCTGATGATCGTCCAAATTTATGTTGATGATATCATTTTTGGATCCACTAATCCTACATTAACAGCTGAATTCTGAAAACTAATGGAAACTAAATTTGAGATGAGCTCAATGGGTCCTATTAAATTTTTCCTTGGTCTAAACATTAGACAGAGTTCTGAGGGAATTTTCATCAACCAAGAAGCCTATACGAAGACTTTACTTGCGAAATTTGGCATGGTGGGAGATTCAAAGGTCAAGGTTCCAATGGTGTTTGGAATGAAGCTCACTCCATCCTTGGACAAGCCTACAGTTGATATAACTCTTTATCAACAAATGATTGGTTCTTTAATGTACCTAACAGCTAGTCGTCCATATATTATGTTTTCTGTTTGTTATTGTTCCATGTTTCAGGCAAATTCTCGTGAGCCCCATATGACTGTTGTGAAGAACATCTTCCGATATCTAAAAAGAACTACCTCTCTCGGAATTTGGTACCCTTCCAACTCAGGATTCTTTGTGCAAGCATTCTCTGATGCGGATCTTGGTGGATGTGGTCTCGATCGTAAAAGCACTTCTGGGGGATGTCAGTTTCTAGATGGAAAGCTTGTAAGTTGGCAATCAAAGAAGCAGATGTGTGTATCCCTATCTACTGCAGAAGCTGAATACCTCACATCTGCATCATGCACTTCTCAAATCATTTTGATTCAGAATCAACTAAGGGACTATGGAATAAACATGAAGATAATCCCTCTATACTGCGATTCAGAAAGCGCAATTCGGATATGTCATAATCCAGTGCAACACTCGAAGACAAAACATATTGCACTAAGATATCACTTAATCAAGGATCATGTTGAGAATGGAAACGTTGAAGTGCATTTTGCTCGATCCTTTGATCAATTGACTGATATCTTCATGAAGGCCTTACCTGAAGCAACTTTTAATCATATTTTACAAGGTCTCGGAATGATAGAAGTTGAATCAGTTCTGAAATCTCATTCGTAATTGGATGTTACTGTTCACATCTGAGCGTTCGTAATCTTTCGGAAGTTACTGTTCACAGTGCGAGCATTCGGAACAGTTCGGAACATATTGTTCATCTGGTGATTCGGAATTTCTTGTATCCTTTGTATATGAAGTTACTGTTCATTTTTTGTTTCTGAATTTCTTTTTGTTTTGTTTTGTTTTTATTTCTTTTTATTTCTTTTTCAAAAAATACAAAAATATATTTCTTTGTTTCTGTTTTTCTTTTATTTTTATTTCCGTTTTCTCTTTTTTAGAAAATCAAAAACTTCAAAAATATTTTGCTTTAATTTAATTTAATTTATTTATTTTTATTTTTTAGAAAATTGAAAATACTAAAAATATTACACAGTTGAGAAGCTTTCATGCACATATTAATCGTAATCTCAATTCTGAATGATGGGTCTGGTATATAATTATGAATCTATGCACTAGTTAAGTGTCCCTAAAAGCATGTTGCTTCATGTTGACCCAAGCCTCTGAGAATTTGTGTGAAGCCTTAATGAAACTTTCATTCCGATTGTTTCTTCCCAATCAGGCTAATTAATCACACAAGTCATTGAGCTACCTTACTTTTCTCACCTAGAGTTACAAGTTGACTGCTTAGTCATTCATTTATATCATAGGTACATCTTCTTCGGAACCACCTTAAAATTTCTCCATCACATTCGCTTTCATAATTGTAACCCTTGAGACTCTCAGTAATTACGACTGAGGTTTATGGTTACACAACATCTGTGTTTATGATCCTAAAATCGTTATCACCACGATTTAAGTGAAACCCATAATCTGAAACCAATTTCTGAATTGACTGCGAACAATTAATATGTTCTATATTTTTCACCATGGAATTGACGAAATACAACCCTTGTGGTTCGTACCTTGGAATCTCACTATTTTTATTTTTGAGTAATCTTTATGAAAAGTTCTCGACCCAAGACTTTTCTTCCCAATAGATCCAGTTTTTATTATTTTTTTCTTGAGATTTCAACTATGTTTGGTAAGTTTAAATGAAATCCACACCATACTTGTTTTTATGGCTACACCGGTCAGACAAGTAATTCCTTTGGATTTTCGAACTTATGAGAGTTTCGGAATTCGATTGGAGCTTTAGCCACCCAAATAAGCCTATGAAAAGAAGCCTTTCACTATTTATTCACAAATAAGTGATCGTAATTCAACGGGAAACCAAAAGCACTTTCGAATCTCTCCTGATTCTGAAGGAAGAGATCGTTGCCCAAGATCCATCTGAATTTCATGTCACTTTTAGTTGACATGCATCACTAAATCCCAGAAATTAGCTTTTCTTTATTTCTTTTTCTTTGGCACACTCTTACACCAAAATCTTTAAGATTTTTTCAAAGTCTTGTTATAATTCATATGTTTACTGTTATTCCGAGAGGAGGTTGTGGTTATTCATTATTAATTCTGAAAGCGCAGAACTGAAACGACGGTTTTCTTGGGGGATAAGGATTCAAATTATGGCGCGTCCTTTTTCCTCGCCTGACATCACGCATGTCAGCTGTAATGTCGCCTGACAAATACATATGTCGCGTAATCCTAGGCTACTTTATTGGGATTTGGGTACATCAAACGACAAATTTTTCTCTCTCCACTTATCACATACGTATATAAGGGTTTTGATGGTTTGGTTTCTCTCACCACTCGCTCAATGCTCTCAAAGAAAAACCCTCTTTCTCTTACTTTTCATCGTCGTCTTCAACCTCTTCCATGGCTGTCTCATCTGAAGCCACTTCCAATGCTGGTCAAAATACGTCTACTGTTATGCTGAACATCAAGCCAAACCAGAATTTGTCTTTGGATCTTGATTCATCCTGTTACTCTGACGTCCTCAAACCGATGATCGAATGCTTGTGTTACTCTTCACTGCCTCAAGCCCTAACAATGTTTGAGCCTGTACCGTTGGTTCATTTGTCCAAGGTGTACTCATCTGCAAACTGCAGTCAAAGTGAAGGTTTGATTACTTTCAAGATCGATTCACACAAAACCTCCATCTCCAAAGCTCGATTCTGCAGGATGCTAGGGTTTTCTTCTGCACAAGGACTTGTCAATCCTGAATCGATTTCTTCATCTGAAATCATCAAGATGTTCTATCAAATGGGTTATATTGGGATATCTCATGGCTATCGAAATTCAGGAAGTCCAATCTTCCTCCTATGTGGAATGGGATCTTTACTCTCTTGTTCAAAAGCTTCTCTGAGAGAGTTACTGGGCCTGACAATGTCAGCCGATTATTCTGCACCATTATCTATTGTCTCTTCTCTGGTGTTAACCTAGACTATGGTACCATTCTTTGGTCACAACTTTTTCAGAGCACACTCTCTACCTATAGACATTCAGAGATTTCATGTGCTCGATTTTGGTCTGTCATTGTGAAGCGTGCCATCGATCACCTCCAGATTCAATTGAAGGATGACTCTGTACTCACTGCGATTCCGATCTTGCATACTTCCAACATTATTGTGTCTGATCCGACAAAGTTTAGCTTCATTGGGTCTATTCCCGAAGCCATGTTGCTGAATGTTCCTGCTGATAATCTTGTTGTGAATGAATACCGAAAAAATCATGCATCGGGTGTTCGTCCTATGCCAGAGGATTTGCGAAAAGCAATAGAAGAAGGTACAAAGCTAAAGAGGGGAGGACAGCAAAAACTGGAAGCTGGTCCTTCGGAAGCCATGCCAAAACCAAATAAAATCAAAAAGCAAGCTCGCAAACCGAGATCACCTTCTCCGGTCTCATTCAGATGTTCGTGAAAATGATCTTGTTCATGATGAAGTTGAAGATACAACCATAAATTCCAAACCACTGGTCTTGGAACGTACTCCTACCGAACCAGTGCCTGAGGTATCATCTCCAATCACTACTTCTATTCCTTTAACAGATGATTTCTTCCAGGCGCCTTCTCCTCCACCTTCTCCAATTACCACTTCATCTCCAATCGCAACCACTACACCTATCACCATTGCTCCATTTCCAAATGTTTCTGTTGGTATTTCTCAACCACAGATTTCAGTTCCACTCTCCACTCCCTTATACTCCGATTCTACAGCTACAGCCTCTTCTTTTCTTAGTACTCCGATGTCTACTGTCAACGTATCTGATACGGGGGCATATGATTTCGGTGTTACTGTCGGTCCAAGAACTTTCACAGCTTCTCCTCTACGTGATGATGATCCAGATCTCATCTTTGGGGATGATCAAGAAGATTTTCAGGCTTTCCATTTCAGCCGCTTTATTGTTAATCAGTCTAGTGATGATGGCGAAGCCCCAATGACAAAAGGGCAGTTCAAAGCCCTCAATGAAAAATTGGATACTCTGCTAGAGTCTTCCAAATATTCGTCCAATAATGAGGATTATTTTCAGTCTCTTAAAGCCCTAATCAAGACGCACTACTAGAATATAGACCTTTAATGACATGCAAACCATGACACGCAGTGATTTACGATACGCAAAAGTGTGTTCCCTAAAAATAATGTCATCTCCTCTAAAATTTGAAGAATTTAGGACACACATTTTTGCGTGCCCTAAAATTTGTGTAAAAAAACACAGAGGTCACCTTTGATAAATAGTGTGTCGTGTGAGCATGTCGCTTTATAATTTTTAAAATGAACGCGCGTGTCCGGACTATTTCTCTTAACTCAAAGTTGCAGGGACCATTATCTAGGGCTTTTCAAGGAGTGCTCTCTGTAACATTCACTACCTCACCTCACCTCCTATCGGCGACCTCAGCTCATCTCTTTCCATCGGTGACCTCGACTCATTTCTTTCCACCAGCGACCTCGGGTTCACCTCACCTTATCGAAGACTGCAACGACTGCTCAACTTTACAAGCCCTAGGTACGATTAAGGTATGTTTTGGTTTACAAGCCCTACTTTATCTTTATCTCGACACTTCTCAACAACAGTCGTCGACTTACTCCGCCGACCGTTGTTCTCCACATCACCAACTTCTTGCCTTCCCATGGTCCGTCAATCAGATCCAATTCGCCAGAGGTATGTTTTGGGCCCTAGAGACGTGTGCTCTGCGCTGTCGCCCGGTTGCCCACCGGTACTACCTGAAAAGATCTTCATCTTCTCTAAATCAAACATGAATTGTTGTTTCGGTTGACAAATCTAAGAACCGATCATGGGGCACGGTATATTCGGATTTAATTTAGAAAAAAAAACCCTAATATACGATCAACATATAATCCAGGATCGCAATCAAAACACAAAAGCTTGTGTGCATGAATGCAATAATTAATCCTACTAATCTAACTCTTTATGTGTTTGCTCACAGCCGATACAAGTGAGAGACCTAGCAAGAAGCACAAGTCATCAGCCAAGGTTGTTTGCAAAAAGAATTTGTAATTTGTTATTATCACCATTTGATTTTATTATTTTGGGTAGGAGAATTGTTTCATTGTGGTTGATGAACTGAGAAAATCTGAATTATACTTCATCTAGGGGCAGACAAATGGTTCATTGAAGTTGATGAACTGTTAATCCTACAAAGAAGTTAAATTTCTGTTCATCATTGTCACCATTTGATTATTCTATTTTCAATTGGTATTTTGGAAGTGTCTTACTGTTTGACTATGTTTGATGAATTGATAACTGAACTAGGGTATCTCATATCAATGAACATTTAGATTATACTTCAAGCTTCACATGAGAAAACAAAGATGTACTCTAAAATCAATGAAACCTTTCCTATAACACATGACAGGAGGACTATAAAGCTGCAGCTTTTGAAGAGGAGGATGCATATTATGTTGAAGAATTTGGTGAGAATGATCCTGATGGTATTTTTATCTAATTATTATATATTAATAGTGATTCAATATCTTTCATATCTAAATCAATGTTTTCTTGGTTTGTATAAATTGATGGAGAAGGAAATAAGAGAGATTTTACCAAATTGGAACTCAAAGCAGATCATGTCAATCGGCCATTATGAGCTTGTGCAGATGGCCGGATCATTCTAGAAACCTTCTCTTCATTGTATAAACAAGCTTATGATTTTCTAATTGCAATTGCAGAACCTGTCTACAGGTAATATATATATATATATATATATATATATATATATATATATATATATATATATATATATATATATATATATATATACGTCTGTTGTTTGCATCTCAACTAACAGTTCATATATAAAATCTGAGATCGATCTTTCATGTTTGGGGTCTTTGTGCTTAATTATAGGCCAGATTCGATGCATGAGTACAACCTGCCTCCACACTTACTTTATGCAGCTGTGTCAGTGGGTCTAGAAACTGAAACCATAATACCTGTGTTGAACAAGCTTTCAAAGATCAAGCTCCCTAAAGAGATGATCGATTTCATTCATGCTTCAACATCCAATTATGGAAAAGTAAAGCTTGTACTGAAAAATAATCGTTACCTAGTTGAATCTCATTTCCCAGAAGCAAGACTGCTTATTCTTTTCTTAATCTTTAAACAAGAAATTGTACATGGGTGGATATTCAAATATTCAATTATTAATTCTATTATCTGATTCGTGTTTGCAGGTATTGAAGAGATTATTAAGCGATAAATTCATATCTCGAGCGAGGATTTCAAATAAGGTTGTAGCTATTATTATTATTATTATTCCTCTTTTTTATGTTGTTTTATATGAGGGATTGATCTTGATCATTCTGTATATTCTCTCACATTCAGGGTGACGATGGGTTTGCTGTTAGTAGATCAGTAGGTGAAGTTGAAGGTAGACATGAGGAACTGCTAACAGAAGCACAGTTGGCATTTGAAATTGACCCCGCTCAGGTATAGTATATGATACACATTATCCGTTTCTGATGAAGTGCATCTTATTTATATCGATCACTTAAAAAAAAGGTCGAAGAGTGATTTGTAGATTTACTGCATCATTGATTGAAGAAAATAAATTACTTGACAGGTTGAAAATGTAAAGCAGAGGTGCTTGCCAAATGCTTTAAACTATCCCATGTTGGAGGAGTATGATTTTCACAATGATACTATTAGTTCTCTTACATACTTGTATGACAGACATTCTTGGTTCATTTAGCAATGTGATTTGTAAACAGACTAACTGTTAACTTTTACCCATACATTCAAACAAACAGTTTTCACAATGTTCATCGTTTTAAACAGTATTCATCAGTTTTAACATCTGAGGAGTTGGGTGGGAAAAATAAAAAGGGAAAATAGGTAAACGGTTGGTTTCATAAGCTTTTTGACTTAACCCATTAAGGCGTTCTTTCCAGATTAAGTAAAAAAGAAACAGTCATGTATAGCTAGCTGTGAAAAACAACCAACCAACCCCATAGTCTTTTCTACAAAATTGATAATTACTCATAATAAGCAAATTGCGCAGATAAATCCGGATGTTGAGATGGAATTAAAGCCTCAAGCACAACCACGACCTTATCAAGAGAAGAGTCTTAGTAAGATGTTTAGAAATGGTAATTAGACACTAATTAGAAAAAGTTGTTAATATTTATATTTGTTGAGAGAGAGTTTTTTTTTTTTAACATTTGTTGAGGTTGCAAGAAGAGCAAGGTCTGGGATCATTGTGTTACCTTTTGGTGCTGGAAAGTCTTTAGTGGGGGTTTCTGCAGCCTGCAGGATTAAAAAGAGTTGTCTCTGTTTAGCTACAAATGTTGTTTCTGTTGACCAATGGGCTTTTCAATTCAAGTTATGGTCAAACATCTGTGACTAAGGATTTAATGTTCTTTTGTCTGAGGTTGGAGTTTTTTAAAAATAAAAGTAAAATAAAATTGTAGCTACACTTGTTAGAGAGGATGAAAGGATTACAGATTTGAATTTTCTTATTGGGCCGAAGTTATACGAAGCAAATTGGTTGGATTTGGTTAAAGGAGGATTCATTGCAAATGTGCAATGTGCTGAAGTGTGGTGTCTAATGACAAAAGAGTTTTTTGCTGAATATCTAAAAAAGGAAAATTCCAAGAAGAAACAGGTATGTATGTATGTATGATCTTATTAGAATAGTATTAAGTATAGTTGATAATTGTGTATGTTATGGTTTGATTGACATGCATTATATGTGATGAACCCTAACAAGTTTAGGGCTTGTGAGTTTCTTATTTGGTCCCATTTATTTGAAGGATAAATGGGATAGATTTCGAGGAAATCCGAATAGATGTCTTGAAAAAACAGCAATTCAGCCCTGAATATAAAGTTATCGATGTGAACGCCATGTCAGCGACTCATCGCCATGTAGACACAATGTGAACAAATTTTTCAGACAACATTTCAGGTAAGATATTACATTGGTTTACCTGTTAAAATTGATACCAATGGTGTAACTCAAAAAACATTGGATGTTCACATTTTAAACTTGTATGCAAGTCTCAATTCTATCATTTTATTATATAAGAACATCATTTTCCTTGCACAAATTTTCTTGTTACTAACATGGGGTTCAAACCAGCTAACCATAATTTGGTTGTTTATTAATGTTTATTGTTGTATATCTTTCAGGTGCTGGTGGACTCTTTGAAGTTAAGGAACACCATTGATGTTGTTAACACAGCTAGAGTGTCCCCCACGATTACAACAAAAACAAACCTCAGGAAGTTCGATGTCCATAACCCTTGGTCTTTCTTGCTCTTCTACTGTAAACTAGGAATTCTTGGGGCTTAACAAATACCCTAATTGAGAGCTTTTGGAGGGCATTTAGAAATCAGAATAACAATCTTGATGTTTCTGTTTGATTAGGCTTACTTGTTGAAAGATAAGACCTTAATGAAGTCATTGTTAGGGAAAACCATATAAAAAATCATTCTTAATTTTTGTTTATAACTGCAGATTTGAAGAATGACAGGGGATTAAAACAGTGAAAGAAGCCGAATCAACACTATGGTAGTTAATAAAAAGACGTGCTATTACATTGTGCACAAGAAACAAAGATCCATATTTCCAAAATAGTTTGTGTTTTATGTTTGTTGTTATTTGGATTAGGAAGATTTGTTTTTCTAGCTTGACTCATGTTAACAATTAAATGTGATTTATTTGAATATTAGTACATTTATTTTATGAAATAGATTGTTTTGTTATATAAGTATTTTATTTTGCATTATGAGACTTTTAAATGTGTTATTTTATTTGAAATTTAGTAAATCTATCAAAAATATATGTTTTTTTTAAACCTTTAAAATTATGACACGCAAAAATGTGTGTCATCTTTCTTTATGACAGATGCTTTAATGATATGCAATGCGAGTCGTAAACGCGCGTCGTAAGGTTACGACACGCAAATGCATGTCGTCTTCTTTATGATAGCGCCTTCCTTGACACGTATTTTGTGTCGTAAGCGTGCATCGTAAATGCGCGTTGTAAGGTTACGACACGCAAATGCGTGTGGTCTTCCTTTATGACAGGCCCTTCCTTGACACACATTTGTGTGTCATTTGTGGCTTTTATGACATGCAATGCGTGTCATTAAAGGCTTTTTTATAGTAGTGAAGTTAACGAAGGAGCATGACAAAAACCTCGCTGCCTCCACAAAAGCTGTTGAAAATTCCGAGAAAACCATTCAGGAAACGACAGAAAAATTCGAAAAACTACTTGTTGATGTAACGTAGTTTATGGCTGAATTCTGAACCTCTTCGGAACAAAACACAGCAACTGCAAACAAAGTGATTACGAGCCTCGGAACAACTCTTCAACTTGAAAAAGAAGCTCTTTCTAAGGTTCGTTCTGACCTCAAGGTTGATAATGCAGAGATGAGCACTTCCATTGTATCCAAGATTGAGCAGCTACAAAAAGATCTTGCTGCTGAAAATATGATAATGGATAAATTGGCTCAAAAGACTGAAAAAGCCAAAGTTATGTCGGTCAAGCTTAACTATACAACCAAGCGCTTAGATGACTTGGAGTCTGATAAGACCATCTTCCGACACTGCATTTCAGACATCAATCAGTATTTGCAAATGCTGATGGAAACAAGTGACTCAAAACTCACCATTTCGGTCCAACAACATATTTCTGAAAAGCTCAAGCTTGTATTCACATTGTTTAACCAGTTAGAGGGTGTTTCAGGAAGCAGTGCTCTTCCGAAACAAGGGGGAGAGCAGATTATTCAAGAAAATATTCAGACGGAACAACCCCAACCTAAGCCAAAATTCGATGAGCAACATAAACAGAAACCAGAAGTTGACCAGAAGGGTAACGACGCTTTTGGTTCAAAAGGCAAAGAGAAAATTGTTGATGATTCTGAAGAAGAAGAGCTCTCCGAAGGAGAAAAACTTATCCGAAAAAACGGTGATAAGGAGCTTGATGAAATTGAGCGTGTTTGTAAAGAAGCAGAAGCTCAAGAAAGGGAAGCTCATGAAGCGAAGGTTACTCTCGAAACTCAGAAGACTGTCTTCCCTCCTTGGTCCATGGAAGGGATTCTAAATGAGGCAGTTGATAATCTGAGTACTCACTGGTTGGAGCCAATTGTTTCATTTGAGTTGGATAACACTTCGGAATCACAACTTGATTTCCCGATTACTCCTAAAGCTTTCCTGTTCAGATGTTTTGAGAAGATTGAGAAAGCTCCAATTTCGGATAATGATGTCAATCACATGCTCTTTTCCTTTTATCTCAAGTATGGAAGGCCTCAATATCAAACTTGGAGTTCTAAGAAGATTGCTGCAGTAAAAGTCTTTGGTCTTGTTGAGACTGAAAACTTCATAAATGTTCGGTTCAAAGTAGTCCGAGGAGCAAGTAATTCGGTCTATGAGTTTACTCTTGCTGACTTACCTTGCTTGATTCCGTATGATTGGATTTCTTTGTTCTCTCTTTTGTCAAAAGATAAACATAAATATGAACCAATTTTGGCTCATCTGAAAAGAATGTTGGTCTGCTACATTCAAGAGATAGGAAAAATGGATGTGGAAATTGCAACTGTTTTGAAAAAGAAGCCAATTCCGAAATCTGAAGAGGATCCGAAGGATCTCGATAAGATGAAGTTGGGTAAAATCCGAAAGGATAAATGGTGTGTGGCATTTCAAAGGAGAGAATGTGAAAAAGTTATGAAGTGTTCGTTCTTCTTACTGGACAAGCATTTATATTCCACCTCCTGTTTGAACTATACCCTGGAGCTAACAGAAGCTTGTAAAGTGAATAATGTTGCCAATAAGAAATTCTTCTCGGATATGATAAAGTGGTATATAGCTGTTCGGAACACTCTTCTTGGATTAATTCCGAAGCTATTCAAAGTTCAGAAACGTCAACAGCAATGAAGAATCTCATTTCTTTATTTGACACAAAGTGGGAGATTGTTGGGATATTAATGTGTTGTGTCAAATCTATTATGTGCGTATTTAGTCTTTATTAATGGATTGGGCCTGTTCATCCGTCATTATGATGCTAGGGTTAGACTATTTATAGTGCATGCATGTATCGTTCTAGGGGCAATCGATTGTATCGCCCTACATTGCCTTTACAGAAAAGTTCTCGTTGAACTCTTCTAAAGCTTTGATAATATTAAGCATTTGACACATCTTTGATCAGCTGTTCTTATTGTTTGGTTCATTTAACTGTTTAGAATCTATCGATCTTAGATTTATTGTGTTTCTACACACCCTAGAAGGGTTGGACGAAAACTTCTAGGGAGGCAGTAGAATCTTCGTCCAAGGCCTTGGTTGGGGAGTCCATGGGCTGCTTAGGCCTTAAGCTAAGGAATTAGGGTTTCCTCCAGCAAACCCTAGCTTTGGCTATAAGCTACCTCAGCTATATAAAGGGTTATACCTTTCATAATTTCGGCCACTCTAACCCTAAGAAGGATAGCCGAAAATCTCAAGTCTCCTCCCCTCACTCATCCTCTTGCTTAGTTTGGGTGTGAACCATTAGAGGCATGACACTTGTGACGCTTGCTTTCAAGGTTGAAGTAGACTTGGATTTTCATTGTTATTACAACATAACAATCAAAGGTATGTTTACTAATGCTAGTTACAAATTTTGAAATTATACTAGTGTTATTAGGGTTTTCCTTTTTGATGTTTAATACTTGTATGATCAATTAGAGAAAACATAGATCCAAGAAAATTAGGGTTGCATGCACAAATAGGGATTGTTTGTTATGCTCAAAACTCATCGCTTCAGTCCATTAGGTTATTGGAGTTCTGACCCTTATAAGAGGCACTCTTGCTTTAGGGATGACTTATAGGATAGTGATGAGTTTTGTAACTAGAAACCCGACACGAAACCGAAACCGGAACCAGTTAGAATCGAAGTATGTATAACAAGGATGGGTATCGAGTTTTATTAGTAGCATTTTCCAGTTTTTGGGTTTAGGTCCATCGGGTACCGGGTAAATTGGGTATTAGAACCAGAACCGGTAATTTTAAATGGGGTTGGGATAAACCGGGTAATAGATCTGGAACCCGATATCTAAAAGTTTTTTTTTTCTATTCCACACGATGGTCGTCTACACCCACAACATGATCATTAGACCGATTTTTCTTTTCCCTACCATCGACGATTTTTTTCCCTTCTGCTCGCATTGTTTATTTGTTTTGTCCTTCTGTTGCCACCGATTCCTTGTAAAACGATGGTACATCATATTGAATATGTGTGATTATTTTCTTTGGTGACTTTTAAGTAAATTATGTTTGGCCCCTCTTATTTCTTAACTCGTTAACATAACCCCTTTATTTATCTTTGAATTACTTCCATTCAATAATTGGTATATTTATTTTTTATAGAAAAACTTATCGGTTGTTACAAGACTAAAAAGAAACTACATTGTTTGGGATCGCTTATCTATAACAATTATGTATTTAAAGTACCAAATAACCCCTATGCAAGCTAAAACCACCAAAAAATTTCAGTTTTTCGGGTATTTTGGTTCTAAAACTCGAAACTCAGTTCCACCTTACTCACTTTAGCATTTTTCAGTTTTAAACCTGTTTTACCCGGTTTCGTATCCGGAACTAAACCGAAACCTATTCCTATATACTAGTCCAGTTTTTTGTTCTAATGTTTCATGATTTATGGGTTTTCCAATTCTGGGCCAATTCCGGACCCAATGACATCCCTACATAGGAAGATAAGGCACGTCGATGATTATCTAATGTTTCATAAAGTAAATGACATCCCTAATGTTTCATGATTTCTTGTTCTAAGGCTCGTCGATGATTATCTCCAACATGTTGTAGTCTATTGTTTCCAACACCATGAGAGACTTGCTAAGCCCCATTGTGAAGTTCTTTTCATCAAACAAAGCAACTTGTTTTCAGAGTTTGATTGAAAGGAATCCGAAAAGACATGATGATTGCAAGATTCATAAATCAGTTTAGTTAATTCTAAAAAATGCTCTGATACTACATTTTATCACAATAAAAAGATAACACCATAATTACTTTGATAAAGACAGTTCCTAGATACAAGAGATTAATCTGAAACATACCTCAGGTTAATAGACAAACTCTTAGATACTAATAATTTTTCACAAAGAATCTACTAGCCTATTCTCACAAAAATACATAAAAAGATAATCAGCATAACATATATATAATATATATATATATATATATATATATATATATATATATATAGTTAGGTTATTTTGGTCTAACTATATATTGTGTGCATTTAAGATTGATTCTGGACCAATAATTTTAGTTATTTTAAGAAAGTAACTAATGTATATTACATGTTAAAGATATAATGAGCATTAATTAAACTTTCAGCATTTAATATGCATTAATTACTTTCTTAAAATAACTAAAATGATTGGTCCAGAATCAATCCTACAAGCACACAATAGATAGTAAAAACATTTGAACCTAACTAACTATATATATATATATATATATATATATGTGTGTGTGTGTGTGTGTGACAACCCGAAACTTTTCCTGTTTCCGTTTCGTGATTTCCGTTAATAAAATTTCAAATTCGTTAACTTTTCCGTCAAACTTTTGGTTTAGAAAATAATCTAGTTATATTTAATTAAATTATTTACGAGTCGGAACCAAAATCGCACGGAAACCCGTTTATTTCGAAAAATCAACATTTCCAGTCTAAGTGAGGATTACGACCGTAAACTAGTTTACGACCGTAAACCTGTTTACGGTCAGTAACGGGTGGACCCCCCACAACACCCCTATAAATACGATGCATCCACCTTCATTAGAACATTTCTGGCCAAAAACTCTCTCCTTCTCTCTCTAAGAACCTTAACCGTAAACACTCAAAACGCCTTCAAACTTCGGAAATCATCAAGAAATCACGTTTGGAGTCACTAGGGAACGCCTGGAAACGATTATCTCATCAAAATCAACAATCAGAACCATTTTTCTTGAGTTTACGGTCCACCTTCAAGAACCGTAAACCCTGTTCTTGAGTTTACGGTCCAACCTTCAGAAACCGTAAACTCTGTTCTTGAGTTTACGGTCCAAGCCTTCAGAAACCGTAAACTCTGTTCTTGAGTTTACAGTCCAAGCCTTCAAGAACCGTAAACTCCTCTTCGACCGTAAACACCTTTTTGGTGGTGCTTTTGACTGAAAACTCACTCTCTTTGATTCGATCAAGTCCCGGTAACATTCCTCAACCGAATACAAGTGTTCTTATAACACTTTATTTATCGAAATCACTAATTTAGATACATATATGTATCTATTTGATAATAGGATTTCGTTAATTGTCACGTGCAACAACTCGAGGATCTTCATTTCAGTCAACGATTTCACACAACAACTGTGAGTTCATACCCCTACATTTTCCGTATTTTTAATGTTTTCAGGGGGGGGAATACAAGCTAAACATAAATGTTTTCAAAACTCATGCAATTCTCATACTTTAACCCTTTTGTACTGTGTTGAGCATACGGGACGTTTTCACTAAAATTGCATAGTTTTCCGGATTCGCTATTCACTATTCATGCAAACTATAATCGGTATAGTTTGGGATTTTCTAAACATAACGAGTACAGAAACTTTCACTACTAAACATATGCACTAAGACAGAAATAGTTTATAGTTACATCACCACTTTATCATGGTTTTTCATAACTGTAATTATCACTATATACGGTATACATACGGATTTTCACTACGGTAGAACGCTACTACACTACATGTAAACTAGATTGTACGATACTATGAGGCACTACTTCACTACTGTACCCTTAGGTGTACAGGGATAAATCCTACCACTGTATAACCAGAGTCTCCTGGAGGGAGAGCGTGAGATTTGTGAATAGATCTATTCGGGACTGACAATCCCACATCTGGACTGCTAGCTGCAATTAGGCGGGCACGCCTGAGATGTACAAATGTCATTTAACTCGACGCCTGAAGAACGTTGGAAAGGTCTCTAGTCATATCAAGCATGGTTATACGACTCACAATATGTATAAATCACCTTTAGTTTACAGCTTAACACTCTTCAACAGTTCTACTTTTACTAAATAGAACTGATACACACTACGTATTCTAGCTAAAGCCAGGGTTTTTCAAACAGAACCGATTATGCAATGGGTTCACATATAAAATACTTACACTTCATGATTAGTTTTAGCTAGTCACATGAGGTAGTATTTTCGCATATCACTACAGTTTTCAGTAACGAACATTCATGGTTTTATACGAAATCGATAACGCTACCCTTTTCACTAAAGAAAATATCGGATTTTCTTGGAAACATACAGATATTCATGGTTTATTACAGAACTGATAACACTACATTTTCACTAAGGAAAATATCGGATTTTCTTGTAACTATACAAATATTTTCCGAACTCGTCAACGATTTTCACTGCAAACCTTCGCTTATGAACTCACCAGCTTTATGTTGATACTCTTTTAAACTGCTTGTATTCTCAGGAAATCAGTAGACAGGTACCTGCTGGGTTTTGAAGAGTTGAAGCAATAAGAGTTCAATGTTTATATTCATACAAGTTATATGATGTAATTCAAACAAGTTTCAGAATTGATGTAAACATTTTTACTTAAGTATTCACTGTAATGGTTGTGTTGCTATGATTGCTGTTATTCATTGGTTGTGATGCTACACATGACGTCCTCCGCCCCGGAACGTTTCCGCCTTTTTGGTTTCGGGGTGTGACAATATATATATATATATATATATATATATATATATATATATATATATATGGAAAAGTTAATAGGGAACCATTATTAATTAAGGAACCAAAGAACAAATTAAAAGTGTCAGAATTTAAAACGATCAACGGCAAAATGAAGGGTTGTAAACTTTTGTAATGGACGCATATGTACCGGATTATAACAAAACTCACTTCCTTTTTTTTTTCATTTAAAATTTTTTTTAGGCCAAGTTTTTTATCGAAAAAAAAACCGAATATACCGTTGTTCACGATTTTTCGTCCTCTTTCCATACAGATCCATGATGATATATAAAAAACGAACTTTTTTTTTCGAAAAAAAATCCACTTAATTTTCTTAGTTTTTTCAATATTTAAGTTTATTTTTATAAAAAAAAACTATTGTATACCAAAAATATTAATTTTTTGTACTCTATTAATAAACATCAACACCGACTAAAAAAAAGACCTCGAACAATGTAGATTCACACTGTGAATCTAAACTGTAAATATTTCAATTTTTAACATTCACAATATGAAAAATCTCAAACAGTTCAGATTCACATTGTGAATCTGAATTACTATTATGCACACTGTGAATCTGAGAATGTTCACAAAAAAAAAGTCTCGATCAGTATAGATTCACACTGTGAATTTAAACTGTAAATATTTCAAATTTTAACATTCACAATGTGAAAAAGCTCCTATCAGTTCAGATTCACACTGTGAATTTGACTTATTATTATGCACACTGTGAATCTGACTTATTATTATGCACAATGTGAATCTGAGGAGGTACACAATGTGAATCTGAAGATGTTTACAATATGAATCTGAACAGGTTCACAATGTGAATTTGAACTGAAATATCGTTTTTTTTTTTTAACTTGAATATGAATCTATGTTTAAAAAGTACAAAAAATATGAATTTTGATATATTTATAAAATTTTTTTCTATAAAAAAATTAGACCTTAACTTTTTTCATCAAAGAAAATGAAGCGAGTTTTTTTCGAAAAAAAAAGTTCGTTTTTTATATATCATCATGGATCTCTATGGAAAAGAGGACGAAAAATCGTGAACAATGGTATATTCGGTTTTTTTTCGATAAAAAACATGGCCTAAAAAAATTTAAAACGAAAAAAAGTGGTGAGTTTTTTTGTAAATGGTGGATTTTTTTGTATAATCCGATGTGTGTGCGTCCAATGTAAAAGTGTACATCTATTTCCTTGGCCGCTGATCGTTACGATTTCCGACGCTCACGATTGGTTAATTGGTTAATTATGGTTCTCTCTCTCTCTCTCTCTCTATATATATATATATATATATATATATATATATATATATATATATATATATATATATATATATATATACTATCTTATAAAATAAATCTTATTATTTCTATAAATAACTTTAATATAATAATAATATTTTTTAAGACGTTTAAGTCTCTAAGCTTATAATACAACCAATCATCAATTAAATAATATTATATTTTAAATCGTCCGGAATGTACAATAAACAATGCATATATTTCCTTAATTTTAGCAAACTTTTGACTCAGCCCCTTCAAATGTTGATCGGGTCTTGTTAAATCCACATATATCGTCATATATCCTATATCCCATGATAAAGCGAATTCTTTAGGGTTCAAATTTTAAAATCAACATTTTTTGGGCCTGTTATATCTCAACCTTTCTATTTCATCCATAGGCGTACAACCTTTGTTTGCATTTAAAACACCCAAAACGTGTTTCCTTCCAAACTCTCTGCTCCATCTCTTTCAGCCACAAACCCTAGAGAACATCTTTGATTCTAACATTTGTCTTTCATACGCAGGTTTTTACTTTGCAACAGAGTGACAAGTCGCCACTGCCACCTGCGCCCTGCCGGTCACTACCTCCGCTAAACAAGAACACAACATCCGCTTCCCACTCTCGCTCCGTCAACACGAGTTTCAACATCACTGAACAACCACCATCTCGAGCTTCACCTCTATCAACAGCCCAAATCCGCTCCCTACTTCATCTCCTTCCGTATTCAACCATTGGTAAGGCTATGTTTGTAGGTAAAGTTATAGATGAAGACGTTGAGAGCTTCAACATGGCTTCAAAATGTTTCGAAGGTATAGTTTTTTATAGTATCTCAACTAGAATAATGTTACTGTCAGCGCTTTTTTTAGCTTTATGGATGTGAAATTAACTTTGACTGATATTATCTCTATTAATGTAGAAAATATAGGATGAGCTTGGTTGAAGTGAAGAGGAAAGGGATTTGATGCAGGCCCAAAGAGGAAAACCGATTGTTTATGACTTTGTAACATTTGGGAGGGTTAATAAGCTCAAGTGTAGAAATAATGGAAACATAAAGAGAGAGAATTCAGGGCCAAAGAGTCCCTATATACTCATATTGCTTCTCAAACCTTCACTTTCTGTGGACTTGCAGCTACAACAAACAATTTCAAGCCTGATTGCTTCTTTTAGTCAGTTGATTTGGTAAGGAATTGTAATAGAAAACTATATATGTGCTTCTTATTGGCTCTTGATTTCATGATCTAAATTGGAGTTCGTCAAGTTAATGGAAGTATGTGGGTGGCTCGATACTTTTGGTAGTGAGTTTAAGTACATTGCCTTTTCTGGTGACAGTGATAAAGTTCAATGCACTTCAGCAAGTTTATGAAGATCTTTGGTTGGTTTGTATATCTTTGCTTATTGATCATTTATTTGGTCCAGTTGTTTGCTACATCCAGAAGAGGTCAAATTTTATGAAGTCTTTATTGTAATGAGTGTCAAAGTTCCTTACTTCTGAAAGTAGCTCAAAAGTTCAATGTTATTTAGCACAATTTAGTGAATATTGTGTTTGTGGGGATTGATTATTTGTCTTCCTTACTTCTGAAAGTAGCTCAAAATGTATTGGTTAAATTACTTGGTTATTTAAAGTTCATAGCATTTCCTAATATGATAGAAATAACATTATGATATGTTAGCAAACTGTAAATTAAAATGATTTATAAAAAGCCATTTAAAGTTTATGGTTGTTCGTTGAAAACATTAAATATGTGATTTTCATACATTTTCAATATTCACAGCAAAATAAAACGCATTAATGTTTTGTTTCATTACTCTAGATTATAACTTTTTTGTTATGAAAATTACTTTTTTGACATTGTTTTATAAGATTACGTTTTTGACAATATGTTGTAACTTGGTCTTTTTTACTTTTGTGATATGTTATAAATTGTTTTTTTTACAATATCTTTTACCCTATTTAAAAAAATTACTTTTTTTTTAATTTTAAATGAATAATCGATAAAGTATTACCTGGTCATTTTTTGTTTGTTAGATATTTCTACTAATGATAGCTTTCAAAAGAGAAAAGATTTATAAATATGACACCTAAAGAAAATAAAAAATATGGAGAAATACCTTTAACTCTATATTGCTTTTTTTTTTGAAAAAATAGTAACAAAAGGGAAAGATTGGTTTAAGAGAAATTTATATAAGATATCACATTTTTGCTAATTGGAAACCTAACCCAGCTCATAAAAAGAAAAAAAAAAAAAAAAAAAAAAAAAAAGAACCCAAAATAAACCCTTAGATAATTAAGTCGTTCAAAATTATTCACCGGAAGAATCTACACAAGCAACGTATCAAAGATTTTGATCAACAAGAGTTTAACTAAAATTACAATATTTTTTTTACTCTAAATTAGCAACATATTTTTCTTTTTTCACCTATAATAGTTTGTCTAAAAAACCCTAATCGTCAAAAAATATTTTTACAAACAAAATAGTCAGCATGCGGAAACTATTTACCCCACACCATATTGAGAGACTACACACCAACCTAGAAACTAAAAGGAACTATATGATCTAAAACAGTCTAGCAAAAAACCGAAAACCAAAAGGAACTATCCAGTGCCAAAAGAAAACCCATCAACATTCGCCACATAAAAACTATCAGGCGCCGCTGCATCGCGCGGGTATCGTACTAGTATATATATATATATATATATATATATATATATATATATATATATATATATATATATATATATATAAACCATTATAGCAATCCTATACGAATAGGAAATCTTCTATATCTTCAAGTTTTATCTATATCTTCCCATTTGAACTTCAAACAAACTCCATCTTCTATCTTCCCACTTGTCGACTCCAATATTATATTAAAACCCATTTGATATAGAACCTTAAATTCGTTGTCGGCTTTTTTCGGTTCCTATGTTATGGACTAAGTGTTTATTTGTATGAGGAAAATGGTTTACAATGAAAAATGTTTCTTAACAAAATGAACTTATTTTAGCTTAAATGCTCTTGGAAAAGTGGAATCAAAACAGATTGAATCAAAATTAACTGGAATTGTTATATCCATCAAACTTTAATTGGAACCATGTATCTTTATTTGATGCTTGTTATGCTTCGATATAGTTCAAAAAAACTAAAACATATACAAACAATTTATTTTGATGTTCATCAATTTTGATTAGAAATTTGGATTCAAACCGAAAGGCGAAACGTGTCGAAAATAAATGAACTGAGCTCATAGGGCCCATATTATGACAACTATGTATGCCATGGTAATGGCACCGCTTATTTATTTATAAGGTTCTTGATAATTGATATAGCTTGTGTCTTTGCTTATGATAATTATTAGGGAACCGATTAATTATTTATGAAATCTGAATCTATTGTCATTTACTTTCTGATTTACTAATTGTTATAGAGGTTAGCTTAACAAAATTGGTAGGCATATCTAACAAAATTGATCAATTTTGATTTCGTTTGGTTATCTAGGTATCTAACAAAACTTGATCAATTTAGGTTATGTTTGCCACACCATTATGTACTTTATTTTCTTATTTTTTAAATTTTTTAAAGTTTGTCATTTTTGACAAACCAGAAAATAACATATAAGCTAACTTATAAAAAACTACTTAGACTAAGTTATAAGGTTTTAAATAAAATATTTATCATTCTCATAGTTACTCGGATAATCATATTAATTACAATATTCTGATCTAAAACAAATTTACAAATTTTATCCTATTAACATCAATCTGAATATAAATCAAACTTTCAAAAATTAAATGGGTGCAACCATAAACAAGCAAAGGCATAATGGCACTTTAATCAATACCAAAAGGTCCATACTCCATACTACATTAAGGCTCAAGTTATGGGACTACTTTCAAAGTACCCACATGACTACCCTACAATAAAACCACAAAATAGTGACGTGGCCTCTAATTCACCAAAAAATAATAATAACCCAAAAAGAGCCTATATTAATTAACACTATGAACCTTATAAATTTACAATTACGAATAAAAATGTAACACGTTAACAAAAGAACATGGACCCTTGAACATCCTCATGCAACTTGGGCAGCTCGGGCACCGGTATACTTCCTACTGAACTAATACTTTCCGCCAAATCATCAAACTTTATAAACTGCCCGACTTGTTGGGCAGCAAGATGAGCGTAAGAAACCGGAGCCACTACAAAATACGTTAAGTACTTTAGTAGATTACATTTTTAGTCCCTAAGTATATTTGGTTTTTGTAATTTTGGTCCTTATTTAATGTTTTTGGACCATGTTCTTAGTAAAATGACTATTTTTGGTCCCCAAGTATAGTTGATTTTTGCAATCTCATTTTATCTTGAACAAGGACCAAAATTGAAATTTTAGCTATACTTAGGGACCAAAAATGTAACTAAATCCAAATAATTAGGTACAACTGAGAAAATTAGGCTAAATGCAAAGATGAAGATGGTATACCGATTGAAGTTGCAGAGCTACTTCTTTGATACCTGTGACACAATTTTAAAAGTTTTTTTTTTGTCATTTTATTGTTGATTAAAATATAATCATGACTAAGTTACATAAATCATCCCTAATCAATATAAAATGACTAATATACCCTATCTGATCATTTTTTTAAATACTTTTTGTTTTTCTTTTAATATATCCTTACCGGATACAACAGGTGAATATAATGTTTTATTTTGTAATTTGTTGCAAAACAAAACATTTTTCGATTTATTTTTTTGGTTTTTTAAGTTTTATAGTTCTGAAAAAATACAAAAATAAAACTTTTATAATTTATAATAAAAGTAAATTTTATATACTTACACATATGATAAGGAAAAGATCAGATTTTGGAGGTGATCAGGAGAGAAACCGATTTCATCAAGCAAGACATGATAGTGAGCAGGACGCGAAGTGCCCTGCAAAATTATTTAATATTTCATTGAATAAAATAATAATAATAATAATAATATAAATATAATTAAATAAATAAGAAAAAAAATTTAGGAACTTACAATCATTCCTGATTGAGCACACATGTAAAAATCATAGTTTCTTGGATGCACAATTTTACTGTCTACCACCGTACCTAATAAGATTGCATAATTTTAGTTTTTTTTTTTCTTTAAACAGAATTAAATAATTTAAAATTTAAAAAAAAAAAAAAAACAACAACAAACCAGAAGGGACATTTTCAGGGGCATTAGCTTGGAAGAGCTTCGTGTGGTGATTTTTTTGAGCTATAATTACTGTGAATTTAGGAACATCAACTTCACCAAGATACTGGTAAGCCTGTGTATTTTATAATCAAATCATTAAAAATCATATAATTTACAAAAATGATCCCTAAGTGTTGCTAGTTTTTGCAAATTTGGTCATTAGTTGACATTTTTTGGTTCTTATTCGATATTTCATAACAACTTTGGTCCACTTGTATCTACTTTTTACATTTATTTTATTAGTAACTTTGTATGTACAAATAATTTTAAAAAATCAAAAAAAGGGTAATATCATCATAATTTTACTTTTTACATATGATGACCAAAACTGCAATAGAAACTATTTTGGAACCAAAATTGAAAAAAAACTGAAATATTTAGGGACCATTTTTGCAATTTACTCTAAAAAATCAAAATATGAAATTTTTTTAAGGTTATTAAACATACCTTGATCATTTGATCCAACTCAAAATTTAGAACTTGACTGAACTGTGATTCGCTCACACCATCCCTGAAAAAAAAACATTAAATAAAAAAAAGTAGCATATTTTTATAAAAATAAGAAACTAAAAGGACAAATAATACCTGAATACTATAATTTGAGTTGGTTTCCGTTGATTGCTTGTTTGATAAAATTCCAAAAGTAGTTCACTGTGTAAGACAAATAATATGTCAATACAAAACATCAGGAACAAAAAAAATTAACAAATGATTTGATCAAGAGTAAAATACATTTTTGGTCCCTGTGTATATCTGATTTTTGCAATTTTGGTCTAGAAAAGTTTTTTATTGCAATTTTGGTCCTTATTTTATGTTTCATAACAATTTTAGTCCCTAAATCGCTAAATCCAACTACCCGTCTGTTAGTTTTTTTATAAATGGCCATTTTACCCTTGGAAGTTATATTAATATATATTGTATGTTGTTCAAATATAAAGTTATATTAATATATATTAGTAATTTAAAAAATAAAGAGAACTACAAAATTGCCCCCTATGATGTATGACTTTTATCAGGTCTGGTCCGGGTGGTCCAAGGGCTAAATGGTCATTTAAAAAACTAACACACAGGTAGTTAGATTATAGAGTTAACAATTCAAGGACAAAAAATGTAATTTGCTCTTTGATAAAACTTTTTAAAAAAATGGATAAAATTCATTAAAATAAAGGATTTACTACCTCATTATGCCATCATCTGTACCATCTGCTTGTGGTTTAAACAAACCTTCAATCATTTCCATCTTTGATGATTGAGCCCTAACAGATGCTTTATATCTTGATATCAATGGCCATGACCTTGATCCAACAACCTATAATTTTAAATAAAAATAATAATAAATATTCACCCCAGAAAAAAAAATAGACCATTAAAATATAGCCAATTTTTGCAACTTTTGGTT